TTTAAAATTGGTACATAAAAAATTATCTTATCTCCTTCTGAAATTTAAAAATTTTATAGATTAATATATAAAAAATTATCTCGTTCCTCCTGAAAAAATTTTTTGGCTCCGCCCCTGTCTGAGAGTATTATTCCCAAGTGATATTGCATGTCAATATTATTTGCACGAGTCTATAGACATTTCCAATTGTCAAGTTCTATGAGTGAAAACAATCAAAACTTGATAACATTGTTTATTTAGGTAGAGAAAATTGGGTTGCCAACACTGAGCAGAGGTGTCCACAACACTATTCAGGCATTTCGAACATTTTCGTTACACACGGATCAGCTAGGCTACATCATGGTGGTGCAACAAAAGAAGCATTGGCCATGGGACTGTGAAAACATAACACACTCTGTAGAAATTAAATGGAAAACAGTAAATTTATTTTGCTAAACACTCGTAAGAAGTGGGTTACGTGTTTCGTTAAAGGAGGACGCTTCACTAAGAGAAGTATTTGAGTTAGGAAATGAGAAGTTGAATTTTTAGGTTTGGATAATTAAGTTTTATAGGAAGATATTTAAATGAATTGTCAAAAAAATAAAAAGATATGTTAGAGTGAAAGGTTTAATTAGGTGTAACTGAAGCTTATTAGAAACTAGAGAGTGGGAATCTACTTCCATTTTCCTTTTTTAAGTTGGGAATTTAAATGTTTTAGGCGATATGAAGTCTCTCTCAAGAAGGGAAGAGAAAGAGGATTTTTCCTTATTTACAGTATTTAAAAATTACATATAGTATGATTTTAGGAATCATTGATATTAAACCAAGATTACAAATATAAAAAATACATTTATGTACAAGTACAACGGTTATATTTTGATTAATTTTGAGATTCTTGCCTATTCTTTCTTTATATTATTTCTTTGGATTGCTCTCCGTGACCTCTCTCTACCTTTGCTAAATTGTTCTCTTTCTTTAGTAATAATTTTCTTGATTTCTGCCGTATGCTTTTCTCCTTGATTTGGTTGATTGGGCCTCCAATAGGATGTTGGTGTGAAGTCTATTATTCTCTCTGTCTTTTCTTTTCCATTTTTCCTATTGCTTGCAACAATCCAGATTTGTTCAATTTTATGCTTTTATTTCATGAAATGATATGGATGCTATTTTTGACACCTTAGAAAATAAGAATCAAGATAGTTTTCCCTTGTGAAATAACTTCCGCAAAACGTTGGTGTTGCCTTTTAAACTTATTTGTAATTACAATAAACATTTTAATTTCCTCCAACACCTCATTTATTTGTTTACAAATAGTCATAATTTATTACTAATTGTATGTTAATGCGTACCAAACATTGGTATTAGACATTTTGCACACAATATGAGTCAAAGTAGTTCACATCAAATAAAAATGCAAGGACTCCCCCAACGATTGTGATAAGTAAATTAAACATAATTCAAATGAATGAACTGAGATGCGTGCTGCTTTGCATGAACGGTTCTTAGTGCATGAAGATGCTCCTTGCTTTCCTCTAAGATGCATGCAAGCAATTAGATGGAGCCTAATTCTTCCTTCTAGCGAATATTTACATCAATGTTTTCAAAACCGACTAGAAGGTTAAACCGTTTTGATCTTTGGTTATTGATTTGATCGGTTTAACCAGTTTAATTATTCAAACCACTGATCAATTGAATTGAATAAATACAATATTATACAATAACTTGAGATATCATATACAATGGTTCTACTGGTTTGTTATCTTTAATCATTATGCAGAAGACCAAAAAAGATTC